CAATTGTACACTCTTCTGTAGTAGTTCATTGAACCACAATACTGATAAGTGATTAATAAAAGTCAAAAGACCAAAGAAGTCACCTTAATATCGAAAAAAAAATAAAAGTGAATAAATGAATGATTCAATTACATTTATCTATTATTGCAATAGCTGTAATAAATTAAAAAACAAGAAAGTACAAACTAATAAACATGATTTAATAACTAAAATTTTGCATTATAATTGTAGTAGCACTATTTTGATTAATATATATTAGTCAAATAAATAATTTAGTTACAGTTAATATTTATTATTTTATTCATTTATCACTTGAAGCATTGAATATTACTACACAAATCTGTAATTATATAAAAAAAAATAATTTATTAACAGTTTTGCAGCTATATAAAAATATTATAAAAAAAAAATTAATAGTTTTTTGTATTTAACTCAACATCAAGTATATAACTAATCTAAAAAAATAGCTACAAAAGAATATATATTATTAAATAATTAGTTAGAATTTGCTTAATAATATTTAAAAAAGTATTCAAATTTTTGTCTTCTTTATCAAGATGAATATTCATTGGCTTTTACTACATTTTTATTATTTATATTATTTGATCATATTATCAAAACAATTGTTATAGATGCTACATATAAAACCAATAAATTAAAATTTGAATTATATGCTGCTATTGGTATTATTAATAGTTTAGGATTTTCATTATCTTACTTTTTTCTTAAACCAAAGTATTTATATAGTAAACTAAATGCAATAGTCAAATAATTATATTATTTAAAAAAAATTATAATATATGAAGTTAAAACAATTCTAACTAATAAAGACTATGAATAGATCATAGCTATAAACAATACTTGAACTAATACAAAAATTTAATTATGTTACTGACATGCAATATGTGCTATTAAAAAAATTATCTAGTACAGAAATTGTATATAAATATTATAATACACATGTAACAAATCTTCTTTGTTTGACTATTAATTCCAATTAGCAAAAACTTTATTAAAACTATATATCTACAGATAATACAAGTCAGAACAATTATTTAATGATAATAATAAAAATAAAACTTTTTGTTAAAAAAATTTTATGAGATTATTTTTAAAATAATTTGCAAACACTTTTTAAAACATCTGATAATTCTAATTGAAGGTGTAAATTTTTTAGATACAAAGCAAATTTGATATATATGTGTTAAAAAGCAATTTAACTATTGTTATAAAAGTAATCTTTCACATATATAGACATATATATAAAATGAATAGTATTATTTTGAAATGTAGAAAATGTGAATACATTTATCAAATTCAAAAATTAGTATTCTATAAAATATTATGACAATTAAAAGCTATTAGTAAATGTTAAAACATGATTTTTTGTCAAATTATAATTATATACAATTAGATTTAATTACTTATATTATTATTACTAAGATTATTTTATGTCAAATTAATCGATTATAATTAATATATAATAAATGATATATAGCAAAATTGCATGAAAACTTTTGAGCTGTATGAAAAAAATTATCACCAAAATAATAAAGAATAACTTTAATTGTAATGATAATCTTTCATGTTAGATATGTTTATGTTCAGATTTTTTTTTAAATTAATTTTATATTTGTAAATATTTAGAGCAAATATATAATTATATAAAATCTAGTTTTTTTAAAAAAGTAAGTTGACATAGTTGAGTATCACTAGTGTGATTTAATAAAACTGTTATTAATCTTTTAATCTAAATTTAATAATAATATTATTACCACCATATTAATTAAGATTATGTACCAAGAATCATACTCATTATTGAAAATTAAAGATGAAAATTTTTTTCTGATTTTTCAAAATCTTTATATTGAAGCTGAAATTCTTAATCCTGAAATCTGTAAATTAATTATAGATAATAGAAAGTTTAATTATTAAGAAACTTCTAGGTATCAAATTCAAGAAACATCTAAATATCAAACTCAAAAAATATCTGAATATCAAATTCAAGAAATATCAAATTATTCAACTCAAGAAACAATATTATATCAAACTCAAGAACAGGATTATATTGATTCAAAGAAAAGTAATTTTGCTGATCAAAATATAATTTTGTTTCAAAAATGAAAATGACAAAATCTTTGAATTACTTAATTTAGCAAAAGAAATTCTTAAAGAAAATACATTAAATCTAAATGGTAATAAATAACTTGATGATATTGACAAGACTTTAAACCAATATATAAATTCATAGAAGATTGTAACCAATTTAAAAGACAAAAATGATTTTCAAAAACTTAGAAAAATTGAAATCATAATACATTCTGACTGTAAAAATGACAGTAAAATAGAATTTATCTGTTTTATTTACATTTGCTTATTAACTCTTTACAAACAAAACATTCAAATTATTTTAAAACATTTGAATTATTTTTTTAAAAACATCAAAAATTTAATAATTCTATTAGTAAAATTTTTTTGCTTTCAAAAAAAAATGTTAAGTTCTTTACGATCCCACTTTGTAAATTTAAATATTGGTACTTGTAAGATTAGTTTTGAAGAAAAAATTATAATAAAGACCCTTTATAAAAATTACATTGGTCTTTTTTCTTTAAATAATAATAAATATAGCGGTTATAATAATGTATATATGTCATATTAAAATTTTTTGGGTGGTAATTTAACCACCATTACCAATTTCCGATTCGTAATTCAAACCTGGATTATAAAGCTGGCCAGAATTATGAAAATTGCACTGCACAGCCTCAAAAAATGCCTGCGCAGGCTGCG